AAGAAACGAACGTCAGAAATCGATGGCGGAATCACAATTCGAATTGCGAACCAAAAGAAATGAAATTTTTACGGTACCACAGAGGCGTATAATTACATTTGGCTTGAAGGAATTGTTTCGAAATCCTTTGAAAGTTGTGATACTACTAACCGAGGAAAATGGAGTGAATATTATCTCGCGGCGCTCTTCGCGCGGCTTGCCGGGACGAGGATGGAATATAGATTTAAATCGATATTTGAGGAACACCGAGGCCACGTCCACGTTAATTCAACGACAGACATAACTGCTCGCCTTAAAATTTACGTTGGTTGGCTCGAGGCAACGCTCACAAATCCACGAAATAGCATGATAAACTTGGGAGTTTCGACAACTGAAATTCCGTGTAAGACACGCCCGATCACGAATTCATTTCGCCGTGAGTTGATCCAGCTGGCACAGTTTCAGCCTACAAATTCGTGGATGCAGTGCGCGACGAGCGACGCCGCCCCGCAGTTTGCGCGCCTCGCCTTCTACATAAGCTAAGTACGGAAAACATATCAATTTACTAATGCCGCACATTAATTGAGGCTCCGGTAACCGTCGCGTAAGTAAGTTACACCCTTCTTCGTGGCCCGAATTATTCAGCCGAGTGCAACCGCGTTTCCACATCACCGTCCTACTTTCGAAACTTCGCACTTTAGCAACTTAATCGTCGTACCGGCGCGGCGCAACCGATTCGCAAAAGAGCGAAAAGAGCATCCTGGAAAAACCGCAAAGTGTCCGAATAAAATTCTGATGGGGAGACTCCGCGGCTGGAAAAGCCGGGCGGAGTCTCGCTTCGGAGTTCGTCGCACGGAACGGTAATTTCTCACGATCTCTCCTCCGTTTCCTACGCGTTTTGATTCGTAAATTAGGAGCGATCGTCCAGTCGCGGAATGGACCGTCCTGTTACTCCGAGGACGGTGATCCCTCCTGACCCGGGGAATTCTATATGCTCTGAGTACACGGCTGCGAAACCGTGCGGTGGGGTTGCGCCGAACACACGTTAACACACAGCTATTAAACACAGTTCCATTACATGCAGATCGTTCCATTTGTTACGGAGCGTTGCGGAGCGGCATCCCTGTACTTTTGGCGAGCGCTGCCAACGGAGTTTCGTGAATTCCATCAAGACACGTAATGGCTCTCCCGACAATGACGCAGGGATCGGTAATAATGCGTAGTTAGATGCACGAGAAGGAGGCTCGTTCAGTTGTAATTTTGAAGTATAAAACAGCACTTCATGTACTTTGTTTTTATAAGAACATCTATACGGAAAGAACGATTTTGTTGAAAGGTAAAAATTGTAAATAACAATTTTGCTGAATGCAGATCTGAGAATTAATTCTTGTTGAATCATCAAAAAATTTTGTTGGAATGTTAAAAATGACAAGCATTGCTATGAAACGTTTTGATATTCTAGCAATTATTTTGACTTTTCAACAAAATTATTCCGATTATTGAACAAAAATTATTTTCAGATCTGGATTGAGTAAAATTGTTCTTCCTGTGTAATTTTCTTTTTTGCGTAAATGTACAGAAGTTTGAGAACAATCTTGAATGTTACATTCTTTTCCATGTCACTCTTTTTCCGTTCAAAAATGTTATTTTATACAGCAAATACTTAAGTGCTGCCCCGTACGAAAACAACGATTATAGCGGAGAAGACAATTTATCACCGGTAACGAGCGTAATTAACGATATCTAACGACAATTAGAGAATCTCTCATTAGTGCAAGCTCTTGGGGGAAACCCTTTTTATCCCAAACAATTACGGGTCTGTCCGATAAACCAGTTGGCGGCGGGCGTCTCGCCGACTCGCGCAGATTTTAATTCCGTCGAGAGCCGTTCGTTTCGGCCGTTCGTCGAACTTACAGTCGGGCGAACGTGTCGCGGGCCGCTGCCGCCTCGTTATCACCGAGAGGAAAATATGTAGGGAGAAGCACGGATGCACACCGTGACGTGGCTGTGATTGCCTCGCTGGCGTCGTGTCTCCGTGCGACTGATGGAATTTGTGAAACTACGAGTGCGCACTGGTCGCCGACCTTTCTGTTGATTTCGGAGTAATGCCGACTGCGCAACACTATTTGCCTCATATCAACGAGAGACGTGCGCCAGAAATGCACGTGTATACTGAAATTGAGATATTACCAGGCGAAGTCACCGAGCAAGCACCGAGATTCGCGTTTTATTTTCGTACAGAGAATCCGGGACTCTATGGATATTACTGATAATGACAAGTTATTCTTTAAAAGAAACAATATGCAACACAAACATTCCAGTGTGCTCTTCGTTATTTATCTCAGTGCAGGCTAAAGAGAAATAGAAATTCCTTTTTTATTCTTCAATTTTTACGCATAACGCAAACCGACGAATACTCTGTATTAATTCGTATGTACTGAAGCATATTTACTGATGCAGCTGAAAGCAGCCTTTTGTTTAACAACACTCCGTACTTTTGCTCCGTTTCTATATATACATATTATATTATTCTATAAAAGTGAAATGTCGCGATAACGCCACGGGAGCAATCCAACAATCATGCCGACAACCGGGAGGGGGATTCACGCTTTCGCTAACAACCGGCGTTGCGTTCATTCGCGATAACTTTGTCGATTATCCCGATGCACAGTTGACAAAGCGGGAAATTAAAGCTCGCCGGATGCCATGCAGGTATGTAGGGATCCTGAGTGGATCCCAGCGGAAATTTGCTGCGTCATGCTACATATTTATGGAAATTTAATGTGTTACACATTTAGCGCGCGCGCGCGCGTGTGTGTGTGTGTGTGTGTGAGCGCGCGCGCTCGCTGGACTACCGCAACCGCTTTGACCACTGCGACTATCACTCGAACGAGCGGCCCCGCAATTCATCCGTCGGCCAACAACTCGCAACACGTTCGTCCGCGATAAGTTCGACGATTGCTCGGGAGTACGTTGGTTCCCGAGGAAATTAAAACTTGGCCAATTCAACTGCCCGGTTCGGACAGTTGGCTTTATTAACCGTCGGCCGCACGGAGAGAAAGAAAGCCGCCAGAGGAGGCGAGGCTAATGAGAGGGTACAGCGATACCGAGCGAAGCGGAATAAAACCACCCTCGTCGAAATATGACGAGCGCGCGCCGCTTTCTCTCTCTCTCTCTCTCTCTTTCTTCTCCCTAGGGTAATCTTAATTCTCAAACTGTTGCCTCTCCTTCGACGCGACGATGCGCATGCAGCGCGCCGAGTTTTGATCAACGTCCGACGCGGATAGATGAAAAATTCATCGCCGCAACGCGCAACTCACCCTCGGGGCACTTTATTAGAATACCTGTTTGCCAGAACTTGCAAACCGCAGTCACGCTCAATTTGTTAGCCTTAACGAACTGATTTCTCATGTCGGTCATATACCCTCGCGCGGCCATTATCAATGATTTTTTTCTTCATTTCGTTCGCTCCTCTTTTTAAAAGTGCATTGAAACAGACTCGCGTATCGTAAACGTCCAACAAATATATTCTTGAATATTTTGCTTCTTCTGAAGAAGCTTCTTCTGAGAGTTTTGGAACGTTGAGCATTTTAGATTTTTAGATTGTCATATTGTTAATATTATTGTTTAAGCGTTTGATTAGATTGTGCCTTTGACACGCAGCTTCGAAATATTAGTACATAAATAAATATATATATATGAGAGAAAATCAGAGAGAAGAGAGAGAGAGAAAGCCGGAGAGAAACGCATTTGAATGTAGGAGCAACAAAATTTAACGCGCGTCAGATATTTATCCTCGTAAACAAAATTATTCAGAGCTAACACAATGTCGCGATGGTACTTGACAATGAATTAAAAATCGTATAGGAGCTATTGTCCCGTTATTTTCATCGCGTATTAGCGAGCTGTAAATTCTCGTAAATATTTCAGTGGTCAATAACCGTTCAACTGCCGCGAAATTGTGTCGAATAAACGGACGGTCCGCAATCGTTTCGCATTGATTTACTTTGGCGATATTATCAATTACAGTCCGACAGTATGCGCCTCTGATTTGGTTAATCATTATGTACATAATTCAGTCACCGTATTCTGTACATAAGCCAGCAAATATTGGCCAAGACCCCCCCTTTGAAGTTTTATGCTTTAACATATTAAATACTGAAATCAGGCGATACAGCAAGTAAATACGTATTCTGTTTTCTTAGCGAATGATAAAATTTCCGCTAAATCTCTCTCTTGCGAGTAAATTATTCATTTATCTTAAGGATAACAAAAATCATAGACTATTTCTTATGTTTCAAAAAAATTATTATTCTAAAAATTCTTTATATGTTATTTTAATTATTTTTTTTAGGGACGCGAGATCTTGAAATTTACGCGTTAGGATTATTACAAAGGGAATCAAAGTTGTATCATAGACATTACATTGAAAATCTCGAATCAAAACTGTTTTCGTACACGGAAGGCACGATTTTGTTGAAAGGTCTAAAAATTTTGCTAAATACAGATCTGAAAATAATTCTTGTTCTATTATCAAAATAATTTGGTGGAAAGTTAAAAATTATAAGCATTGCTATAAAACGTTTTTGATATTCTAGCAATCGTTGTGATTTTCCAACAAAATTATTTTGATTGTTCAACAAAAATTATTATCAGATCTGAATCCAACAAAATTGTTCTTTCCGTGTCACAACATCTACAAATTGGAACGTTTGGAGAAATGACTGCTTTATACGCAAATAAAAAAAAAATAAAAGAATCTCTGCCGTTCATAATTAGTCGGGAGCGCAAGACGAGGAGAGGAACTCTCGATGTCCCACACGAGGACGCCAGGACCGTGCTTACGCTGATGCGAATTAGGATAGGACGCAGCCCGCGGAAAAGCACAAGCGCTTGCGCTAAAAGCCACGGCCCGGCGGGGGGGTTGAAAGAGGGTAAGAGCTCGCGCGCGCTGCTGTAGGTAGGGAGAGGGTTCGCGTTGGGAAGCTTCTGCGGGAAACGGAGAATCTGCGAGTGTCAGTGCAATTCGCGACGCGATGCCCTTCGCTCCCCCGGTCCGTGCTTGAGGGGTGGTGAGATCTCGAGGGCTCGCCGACTACTCCCGTCGTGTCGTGTCGTGTCGTGTCGTCGTCGTCGAGAGCGACGACGGGGGAGACTGGCCATCTGTGCGCGACAAGTTCCAAGGAAATCAAAGCCTCCTTTCATGTAAAGCTGCGGGCGGTCGTCCGATCCGGAGTAGTCGTGACGACGAGCATAATAATCGCGTGATCAATTTCGTCGTCTTCCCATGGGAAATGACGGAGAGATGTGTTAGATGTGAGTGAGACACAATTGGCGGGATTAAATCTTACGCTTGCGCTCCGTCGAAATGAATCCGTCGCGCAATCCGACGATTTTCGTCGCCGGTCGATGAAGATTGTCAACCGGTTATCAATTATTTGCGATAATCGTTGCGGAGATCGATGCCGCGGATACGTATACGTGGCCGCGCGAATTCTCGTCGATACGTCGTCGCGTCGGTGGTTTCTATACGCGCGAGATTGAAAATTATGCAAACATAATTTCCGACACCGTGCAATCCGCGCCAAAGAAACGCCGGCGTGGCGACGTCCGATCGTGCGTACGCCATTATCGGAAAACAGCGGCGAGGTGCTCGAAGTAAATTTAAGATACGACGCATCTCTCTCTCTCCCTTCCGCAACCCTGTGCCTCACCCCATGTCATACCTACCTACGAGCCTCTCAACCAACTCTCTTCCGCTCCCTTTCGTTTTCTGTTCGCCAACTTCTCGCGTAACTTCCCGCTTAAATTGCGTTAGAAACTCGATTTGCGACGTGCGATAATAATGATTGAAAAGTTTGGCAACAGTTATCGATTAAATTTAAAATGCAGTGTTTTGAAAGCTTTTATCAGCTACTCTTTCTCTAATGTGTTTTTCTATTCTCAGTTTTTACGATTGAAATATCAGTATCATGAAATTAATAAAAAAAAAAATAATACAAGACAATTAGATATTAATAATATTTGACTTCTAATATTAATAATTATGAAAACGTTAAACTGAGAAATAAAATATTGTCGCGAAATAACACAAGCGTTGGTCTTTTATATGCCACGTGACGGAATTTTGTCGACTCCAATGGTCTCCGCCTCGCATCCCGCGCGTCTCGCAGTTTCAATGGAAGTTACTGGCCAAATTGCATTCAGGACTCGATTCCATGGGGATAATAATAATGATCGGAAGCTCTTACAGCAATTATAAACGCGGGAACTTAGCGCGGGCGAAAGTTCGTTGCCCGCGTTCGCGTTATCAGAATTCCGATCTTGGGAACAAACGAGGAGCGACAATTAAATATGTCCGCCCCCGCCTTAATCCAACTCGTATTCGTTCGCAAATCGATATTTAATTACACATCTGGAAATATTATTGTTAAAAATTCGATTTAATTGAAGAACGCTCTTAAATAACCTTCGCATCCAAACCCAATAAAGTTTTTTGTGTCAAATTTTCACAAAAACGTAAATCAATTTTGTATATATAAAGTAAACGCTGCAAAAAAAATAATTAATAAATAACGATGAACTCGAGACTAATGAGGGAATTAAATCGATATTTCAAAATCGAATACGTATCGTGTCATAATCCTGATATAATTACGCAAGACTGGAAACGTGCTGTTCACGATTGGAAGTATTGGCTCGCAGTGAACAACTTTGAGAGAAGCAAAAGGATCATTAAAAACGCATAATGGATAGATAGTAATTGATAAAATATTAGCAGTATTCAGTGTAAACGTACATACATATAACAAGAACGTGATTAATTAATCAACGGGGCCACGCACGAGGGCTTCCCCGTCGGCATTGACGAACGGCGTACGAATTGGACAAAATTTAACGGTGAGTATCTATGCATACGTAAGATACTTTTTACGTTCCACTCTTTGAAATTCAAATTGCTCGTATGCTATTGTAACATCGAAATTATTGTAATTTCGAGCTAACGAATTATATTTTGTTGGACGATTACTAGAATCCTCATTCGCGCGAAAAATTGTTGTTATGCGACCAGCTTAATTTTATCGTGTGTTACTTTCTGCAATTGCCTTTTTTTCCCCACTTTTTCCTCCGTGAAGTGTCTGGCTTCCTCGTGGACTAAATAGTAACACCTAATTTAGGCTTTTATTGTGTATCCTGATAACGTATTTACCATGTTAACGGGAGTAGCAGTTGGCTATGCGGGCGCTGCCTTAATTTTCTCCCCCTCGTCTTAATTCTCCTTGGTAATTCGCACTCATATTTTACGTCGTTAAACGGCACCGTAATAATAGTAAATTAACGTGTAACGTTGTAAGCAACATCTGAACTGTCGCCCCCTTCTAAGATGATTCAGTGAAAACATACAGTCGTGGACATATCGGTTGCGACACTTTTTTTAATAGATTTTTAGTATATATTTAATATATTGTATTTTATAGGTAACTAATATCTTGCAAATGCGAATCACGATGATGTACTATCTTTAATCTAGAGACAGTACACCAATCGTGGTTCGTATTTGCATAATATTAGTGCGTTTCGAAACCTATTAAAAAAAGTGTTGCAACCGATATGTTTACACACGAGGCGACTCTCCTTCATGCGTTCCCGTGCGCGATTCGCGACGCAACCGTAAATAATTGCGTCGGTTTAATCGGTTTAATTTAATGCTATCGATCATTCACATTGATCTGTTATTCATCACGTGTTGTACAATTAATTTGCCACGGCAGGATAGCTGATTACGTTCGCTCGTTTTGAAGGCAAATATACCGCGTGACAGAAAAAGAAATATAGTTATTGCAGTCTCGTTAATAATCTGCGTCTCATCGATCGGAATAAACTGATAATTTTTTGTTCTATACTTTATTTATTAACTCGACCGATATTAAGCAATTATTCATCACGCTAATCACGCCAGCGTTGAATATAACCGTAGTTGAATATAACATTTTTCATCAGAGACCTGATATATATGGTGGTAGATGTGCAGACTTAATAATGTTTCCGCATACATTTGTTTCAACATTGATTATGAAATATTTGAATATTTCATAATCTTCTGCAGAATTGGCTTATACTTTTTATTCAAAATTATTTGTAACATATTATTATCGCATAACAATAATTAATAATCACTTAAGGATGATTTAAAAATTATAAAAATACACAGTTTGGTTATGTCTTTTACTAGATAATTTTTAAAATAAAATTTATTTCAGATTTATTCACCAGACCCCACACCAGAATTGAATTAATATATGTATATCATTTCTTTTTTTAATAATAGAAAAATTTAATTTTTTATAATAGAAAAAGTGAAAGACAGAAATTATATTTTTTAAAAATTACAATATAAATTAAGGCTAATGAGAGTCAAAAGCAGTTCTCGGTGCTCTAATGCGTATAGGGTAAACCTGGTATATACGCCGCGCGAGGATTTACGCCGCAGAAGTCAGAAAAAAATAGAAGAAGTGAAACTAATTTTCTCACAATCACTCTGTTACATCATACATGTCTTTATGTTATATGTATGTATTTATTCATAATCTGTAATAATACGTTCTTTATTTATTTATTAATGAGTAAATGCAAATTACGTTGTCAATTCACGTGTTATTCACTATTATTATTTAGATTATTTGTGTATTTTCCGAGTCATTTATCCCACTCATGAGTAGCCGTATAACCCACCCCTATTTTTATAAGGCAAAAATGCAAGGACTAAAAGAAATTTCTTTTTTAATATAACAAATAAATAATTTGGATTCCTAATATATTTTTTATAATGGTAAACAGTATAAAGTTTTTACTGGCAAAGAGTCAAAACGTTCGTTAGTATTGCAATGCATTAATGTAATGATTATTAATATAGGGTAAACCCGGTACATACGCCGCACCTATTAAAAATTTAATTTATCAGATGATATTGTCATTTGATAAATTAAGTTTTTAATAGATGCGGTGTATATACCGGGTTTACCCTATATTAATAATCATTACATTAATGCATTGGAATACCAACGAATGTTTTGACTCTCTTTGGAGTCATCCTCAGCGTACCACAGGAGATATAAATGCGAAAATTTTGACCCTCGATAAGACATGACATCTCCTGTGATACGCTGAGGAGTCGAAACGTTCGTTAGTATTGAAATGCATTAATGGAATAAATGATAATATATGACTTGAGCACGTATCAAAAACTGCTTTTGACTCTCATTGTATGTATGATCCTTTTATCTCCTTATGTGGAGCATAGGACGTCTACAAGTCTCTTCCACCTTATTCTAGGGGCAATTGCTTTTATTTCTGCCCAGCTCTTTCCTATTGTTTTTATTTCTTTGTTGACGTTCTTCTCCATTAAAATCGAAGCATACGTGGGGTGAAGGTCTCGAACTCGAGACCGCCGATTATGAATCAACGCATGCTTGCACATCGAGCCATTCGTTACCCCGCGGCCTGTACTCGTTTTTCGAGTCAATTGCTTTTCGGACTTGTGAGTGATTGGTCCACAGAATCCTATCCAGCCGTCAAAGTTATACTGTCGGTTGGCCGGAAGAACCGGTGGGGGCCGATTTTTATTTTATTTATTTTTATTTATTTACTTGAGTTCTAGATGGTTTTGAACTCGGGTCTCCTACCGGAGAGCAGGCATACTACTATGTATGTCACGACCCTCACTTATTCATTAGCCTTAATTTATATTGTAATTTTTTAATCTGTGAGTCCACCATTTCAATATTGTTATATTTTTTAAACATAAAACATTGTCGTAACGTGTCCTGTCGGAAACAGCTTAATTAGTCAGGAAAGTTAAAGATTGTTTTGTCGTTGAAGCCAGCATTATCTTGTTTTCGTTGGAAAATCGTTAACGTCCAAGTGAAATACAGCGAAATGCACTAGCGTCGAAAAAGCCGCTTGCAAGCACCGTGTCAGCATTCCATTCCGCATTTCGCTGGATCCTGCTCAATAAGCAATACCGCGTCATCGTCGAAAATCCTAGGAAAATAAAATCGCGGAAGCATCTGACAAGAGGAGACTCTATATCGTCCGTTCCATTATCTTTGCCTCCGTGAAAAATAAATTTTGGCGCATCATTTACGACATATGGTCCAAAGATCATAAACATGTTAAGAATCTGTTTTTTTTTTAACGATCAAATACGACAATATCTCTAAATGTGGTAATATGAAATTGTCCGCAAAATTGAACAAGATAACTAAACAAAATGTCGGGTTTAGATAAAAAAAAAACTATCAGATAAATGTTTCTGT